TGTTGGCTTTGCCAACTGCTCCACTATACAACCACTCATTAATACAAAGAGGTTAGTGTTCTACCTTGAAAAGGCCGCAGGGATGTACTCAGTATTGCCATATGCCCTTTACAGGTATTTACTTATATTTGTTAGCATTCATAGCATTAAGACCATTTACAGATATCTGAAGATATCTAAAGTTGCTTCTCATTAGGTTTTTTTTTTTTTTTTTTTTATATGGGTTTATTTTTTTTTTTTTTTTTTCATATGGGTTTAATTTGATTTTTTCCCAGTGATATCAAAATCATGAGTTATGAAAGTTTAGGTAGAAAAAAATATCACAACATATTGTCTCTATTTTTATGAAAGAAAATTATGTCCTCTTAATAATCTTTAAATTTGTGTTCATATTAATACAAATATTTTATATCACATATTGTAATGATCTCAACATAAACATAAGTATTGAAAATCCGCATATCTGAAGCAATTTTTTTTCTATTGTATTATTAAAGAAAGTTATCCATGTTTACAAACTAGTTTCTATTTATATAAATGGTCATTGTATTTTTTCGTTCAAATTACAACTTTTGAATTCAATAATTCCTTAATCATGAAGTTGACATGTCAATCTGTTTAAATACTCACACAAATTCATATTACTACTTTTACATAACTATAATGGCTTAATTTTCATCGCGTAGTTCTTCATTTTCTCCTTTATTGGCTAATTTAGTAGTCATTTATAGAAATTCATCAAGATTTTGATGAAGAGATTTTTAATTATTTAAGAATATAGATTATATAAGAAAAGATGTGATCTTACTGGTAGTTTAGTGTTAAGCTTATCATAAACTTCAGTGTACTCATAATCCATCTCATGTATTTCTTTTGATTGTGTAATGATGGGCACTATGATTGTAATGTATTCCATTTTTTATTGATGTTGTTACTTATTGATTTTTTGGTTATTATGCCTCAGTGGAAATCAATTCTGTGTCTTGCATAATTTACATTCAGATTTTGTAGAGGTGCGTCTCCCATCTATTTTAGTTTTGAAATTAACATTATAGCTTGCTTAAGACATGACTTAGAAATTAATACTATTTTCTTTCTTTTTACCTCTACTTCTAAAACATATGACATTGTATTGTTCAATATAGTCATTAGCATAATCTTTCAGTGGTTTCGATATTGATAGATACACTATTAAATAAAAAATGTATTGGTAGATACACTATCAAATAAAAAATATTTGTGAAAAAAATATTTAGAGTTATAAATTATTTTAACTATGCTATTCTAATTTTATCTTACGATTCACATGAATAGAAAGTCGATGTAATTATCACAAAAAAAAATTGTCTAAACTCAATTAATTTATTTGAAATTGACTTTGAATATAAATCACATGGGGTAATCTTTGTATAAAAACATGAAAATCATGATTTTTATGCCATAAAATTTCAATCATTCAATTTCAAACATATTGTCAGGTTTGATGCAAAGTCATAATCTACAAAATAACAACCCAAGCATATAAACAATAAAAAAATATGAATTACATTTGATTTGAGGCTGCTTTGTCTTCTAGACTTAAGAGGAGAAAAATACGATAAGTTGTCCTTTTGAACAAACTTGGATCGAAAGAGGAAATATGAAATGATGAAGAGAAGGTGTGTTGATGCCTTGATGGTGAGATTTAAATTTGATAATTCAAAATTGTTAATTAATATTAGATTAATTACAAACTGAAAGGGTAATATTTTACATTAGATTAGAAGAGTTAAATGAATGATTAAGATTTGAGAAGAAACTCAAGCCCCTTTCATATATAATATAATGGTGGTATAGATATGGGAAGGCCATGTCTTGCACAATACAATATTACAAAATGAAACCTTCATGCTTTGATATGCCTCAAAAAAACTTTGGTATATAGCCATTGATCTACACTTGCTCATTTATCTCATTAAGAACCTCATATATCTTCTAAAATGAAGGATATGATAGAGTTCATCTCTGTATGTAAATTCATTAATCTTGCCATCCAGTTCTATAAAACTCCCTCCAAAGTCTTTAGTGACTCCCCATTCTTTCATAACCTTTGTCAACTTCCCAACATTATGGCATTTTCCATGTGCAGCATATATATTCATCATTATATAATAATTCCCACTTTTTTCAGGCTCAATTTCAATGAGATGCCTCAATGCCTCCTCTCCAACCTCAACATCACTAGATATTCTAGAAGCATATATTCATCAAAGATCCCCATATAGTTGCATAAGGCTTAAAAGGAATTTCTATAACGTCGTCCCTTGCCTCACTTAGGCTTCATTTGGGACAGTTTTTATATTGCTTCTTAAAGCAGTTTTCTAGTTTAAAAATTAAAAATTTTATACTAAAAAGTTGTTTTAAAAAACATTAAGAAAGCCATCCCAAACGAAGCTTTAATCAATCAACATTATCAATAAAATCAATCATACAACCATGGTGCTATTTGAGGCTCAATATTGTAACACGATTTCATGCAGCTAAATTACACCAAGAATAGTTTATTTTTAAATGTATGTAAGAATGAAATGAAATTTCTAAGGTTGCGCCCATAAAAAATACAACATATTTTAAATGTTGGGCTTGTCAAAGTTTTTGATTCGTAAGCTTCATGTGCCAATAGTTGCATTTATACATTCTTAATAACTTATTATGAAAGTGTTGTTGGAAACTCGTTTAATATGAATTAGGATGTTAAGCCTAATTAAATGTCCCAAGGCTAACCAAGAGGGGGGGGGTGAATTGGTAATTTAAAAAATTATACTTCTACTCTTGGATTTATAGCCGAATACAAAAACTTTTTCAAGATCTCCTTTAAGTCTGTGTAAATTTATTCACTCAATTACAATCACTCCCTCTCAAATTTAATTCAAATAAAAAAATACAAGCTTCAAATTCTCAAAGTATCTCATGCTGAATTTGATTTGAAGTTTTCGTAATCTGGAGTTCGATTTTTCTGAAATATTAGTACACACAAGAGCAAAAACAAATCTTCCAAAAATTGTTATGAGATAACAACATCAAAACTATACAAGTTGCAAGAATGTAAAACATGCAAATAGCAACTTTCCTAACAAGTGTTGCTATCTATTTATGCATGTTCTTTTACTAATGATCACCTAGAACAATAACAAGGTATTACATATACATATTTTCTCTAAGTATATTACTTGCTTTTCATCTCGAGTAGGCTTTTAGTTATAGTATATGGTGAAAATAAATTTAACCTTTAAATTGGATCAATTTGAAGATTTATTTTTAAGAATTTTACTTCTTGTTATCACTTAGTTATCATACTTTTAAATGTCTTTCTATGATCTAATTACATGTTGCCCTTCATTTTTTTTTTCTGAGATTTGTCATTTATAAATTTAATGATTATTGCATAAGACCATATACTTGTAAATTTGAACTTGTGGTCAAATATAAGGCTTTGGAAATTTGAATTTTAAAAATTTGAAGTATAGATTTTCCAAGTATTGAGGGAATATTAGTTAAACTATGTGAAAATTTTTTAGAAGAAAATAAGTACTTTCCACTCTTGCTTGGATGCCAAATCATTTGCAGGGCCTAGTTACATGGTGCTTACAAGTTCCCTCTTCAAATTTAAGCATGTCTCTTTCTTTTACCGCTCTTTGTGCATTTTGAAATAAATGGATGTAAAGACTATAAATGCTAGTTTAAATGCAAGGAATAAGGTTAATGTGTGTCCGAAGAAAATATAGAGTTAATTTGAATGAGAGTGCAACTCCTTTGATGTGGTCTTGTCATCTCTTCAAATTTAATCACATTGGTAAGTGATGGGCTTATATATTTAGTTAAAGTTTTTTCTTATTTTTTAATGTAGAAATCTTCTATCATCTCTCCTCCACTAACCATACTAATTTCCCATCATTTCTCCCACAAAATTCCTACAAAAGCCACATTGAAAGTTGTTAGCCTTGGGCTACTTAAATAATACTTGGTTTTGTTCAATTGGACGTTTGGACACCATAAACCTATTGAAAATTTATGTCAAACTATATAATTAATCTGGAGAAAAAACCCTAACAACCGCTAAGCATTTCTAGTGCTTGATCCTAACTTGAAATCCCTTCCCATTAAGCCAAAAACTTAACCTAGGGCTATTGGCCTATGGGAGTCTCCACAAGCCCTAATATTGTACCAACCTTAATATTATAAAAAAACATCTTAAAAATATCATAAAATTATTAAATAATTTAGATTATATCTAGTCATAGTAACCTAAATGTTCTAAGTGTTTATTTTTCTAGAGGTATTATATATTTACTGCACAAATCATAAACTTTCATGAAGTAAGCTCTCAGATTTTGACTAATTTATCCTGTCGCTCACGCTGTTTTTGACCCCACGTAGTGGGATAAAAGTTTGATGTTGTTGTTGTTGTTGTATTATAGACTGAACGCTATTTGTCTTAAGTCCTAACTCCACTTATCCAACAATCTCATGAAAGCCTACAAACTTTTCCTAACACTCTTACGATGATTGCAAACATATTTAAGCCTTCATCAAAAGAGCTAACTCTAGATTTTATTATACACTTTTTACATTCTATCTAGTTCACTATATCTCAATCAAAGTGATCTAATATATGATGTTAGATAAAAAACATCAAAATAAATAGTTTTGCCAATGAATGAAGATATATCAAACTTCATCAATATAGTCTATTTTGAGTGAAGAAATCCCGAATGAAGATATAACAATAATAAGAGAGAATCAAAATCGGAAGATTGAGAAGTTACTTTGCCTAAGTATAAAATATTTTGACCCTGAGAAAATTTTGAAGATATTAAAAAAAAAAAGAGACGGATATATTTCTTGAATTTTTATCACAAGGGACATATAAAGTCAGTGTACTTCATGAATATTTGATTTTTTTAATTTTTTATTTTTTTATTTTGCCATTGTCTTATAAAACAAACAGCGAAACATACATACTGCGGCCAAGGCCCTCAAGATTGCATATTTTACTCGATGCGGACTTTCGCTGCTCCGAACTTAAGATCAGAAAACCTCAAAACCCCAAAAATATGGCGGAGACGAAGGCCTTCGACGGGTTCGAGCCCATATTTGGGGAGTCCACGGCGGAACTGGAGGAGGGCGAGTCCTTCGGAGCTGTATTCCGCCGCTCCTTCCTGTTTTATGTCCACCCTTTAGATTCTTCTCAGCTAGAGATCGTGGCCTCCAACTTCCAATCCAACACCTTCAAATGCGTCCTCACCGTTATGGACATCGATGACCTGGTAATCGCTTTCTCATACCCTTTTGGCGCTGATATCCAATTTGAAATCGCTGAGTGGAACTGGATAAGTTTTAGATTGATCATTTTTTTTCTTTCGCATGCTGATCAGCTGTGTCGTTGTTTGCTACTGCAGTTTCATTATATTTAATTTATGCTGGAATCTCGGTCTGAAAAGCTATTAAGATACCTTCGTTCAATTGAGAATTTTAGATGCAAGTTTGGTGCTACTTTTTTCTGGCAAGCCCAAAAATTCTCACCAGAGTATGCTTTGAATTGGAAAATTGGGTTGATTGCTGTGTCAAATGGACCACTTGATCCCTGTCCATTGAAGTTTCATGTTTCCAAAGCTTATGTTGTATACCCATCCATACCTTTGTAGTTAACTTACATGTGTCTAAGAAGGTTCCTGCCCACAGGACTTGCCAGAGGAAGCATGCTATAAAAGCTATGCTTGCCCAAAGGAAGCCCAACCATGCAGGGCAGTTGCTAACATCAACCTGTGAGCAAGTAGCCACTCATCCTAGCAGGGCTTGTGATGTATGAGCTCACATTGGATTGAAGATATACTTATTCCAAATGATTTTTTCCTTGAGTTGCACTCACCCTAACAAAACTCAATCTCCCACAGTAGTTGTCCGCAATCAAGATCACCTACATTCTACAAATGTCTCCAATCAAGCTATAGGAAGTGCACACCTATAAAGCCTATGGCCATGACTCCACTAACTAAATTTGTCCTTGGCTCACAACCACTTCCACCGAAGGACTAGCCGTTTGCTCCTGAGTCATTCTTAGGGCCTTGGCATACTCACCTAACATACCATTTCTCATAGATTCGCCCAAAAGTTTCGCTCCGGGTACCTGCCAGAGGACATTTCATAGGTAGAGGGCAGTGTGCACTAGCCAACATAGTCCACATGTTTGCATCAATTTGTACTTATCATGTAATGTATTATTTTTCTATTTATTTTAGGTGTAGCCTTCACAATAGTTCTTTTATCCATATAAATTAGGGTGAAGAGGAATACTTAGGAATTTCCTCACTCGTTTATTCAACTCTAACTTGCTAAGACCTTTTGGAATCATTGTGTATCGGCCATAGAAAATTTGGATCTAACATCTTTTAAGATGCAATAAGTGTGGATTGCTGCCAATGACCATACTGTAGGTACCATGCAAAAAGCATCAGAGCCAGGAGTTATTATTGAACATGGAAAACTAAAACTTTGCAACATCGTAACTTGATGGAGATGCAAGAGAGAATAACTAAGATGATTCAAGACTCATTAAGGCGAGTTCAGAGTAATGCCCTAGAGAGAGTACCCTGTAGGGTCATTTAACTTGGCAGCTTGCCAGAGTCTAGGGCATTGATTTTAACTCCCATTATTGACCATAGCTACAGTTACAACCATGATGAACAATCCTCTGCCTGAAAAATGAGGAGAGAGCTAGAGCTACCTAACACTTTTTTTAACAAAAATCATGGAGGTAAAGCCACTCATTAAGTTAAATATGCCCCACCTAGGTCATACTGGGGAAGATCCAATCCCGTCAATTATGTTACATACTAGTCAGCAACATCGTTGATAGGCTCCAAGAATGTGCCGAGGTGTCGATTGTTCTTTACCCCTTTCAAAGAGTTTGCCTTCTTATGTTTTTCTCACCTTTTCCTAGGTATCATCATCTCATTTGTTGAGTATTAGAGGATGTTCATCATATAATTTTTGAGCTCTCAAAGGCAACTCAAAAGCTCGTATGGTCTTCTGATTATAAGGCAGGAACCCGATGAGTCAATAAAAAGCTTCATTATCAGGTTTTAGCGAGAAATGCTGGAGGCTAAAGAATAAAGATTTAAAACCAATTGTCACATAGGTTTTGTTGATCCAAGCATAGCGAGAAGGGTCATTGAGGTATGCCCTTGGTCTTCAAGAGCCATGAATTTTGGCTTAATTGTTAGAACTTTCCAACAGTCATATAAATACCGAAGAGTATAAAAACGTGGTGGAGTCCCTAGCCACTTGCCCTAAAAAGTTTCCAACGAGGCATGATTGGCACTAGAGTCGCGGGCATGAGGAGTCACCTATGTGGTTATAAGGTGTTGAGACAATAACATGCGTTGGAAGACTATTGCCATCAGGTCCAACAAAGGGCACACCTACCAACAAGACTGCTTTGAATTACGGGCACACCTGCCCCACCAGTAGGAGAAACATCATACACAGTTCACTTGTATAGAGATGTTAGGGTGTACCTCACTTATTAAAACCCGACTGTTGCTGCCATTTGTATTTTCATGGCTGAGTTGATGGAGGCCATTCAGAATAGGGAGTTCTTTAAACACCCAGTGCTAATGAAGGTGGGTGCTTATACTAGGGATACCTGAAAATATTTTTTTTTTCACAAAGATCATAAGCATGACACGAAGGAATGCAGGTACCCCCTGAAGCCTTTTGGAGGATCTCATAAAAGTTTTAAAGTTGATAGAGTTTGTCATTGCATACCTAGACAGGTGAGCAGGTAAGGTTACTTGCAGATGGCCAAGGAAATGAGCATGTTTCTTCTCGCTCCATCCATATCATTGGGGTGGTTCTTTCTATTCTTAGAGGGGACAGAGCATAAACATCTCAGGAAGTGAGTCTAAAGATGTCTCTCATGGGAGAAGTCACCTTGATGACCACATCGTTCACACCAGTAGCCAATTTTGCCTATATCTCCTTCACTGAAGCTAACAAAACGACAAGCAGCAATACCTTAAATGTTGTCGTACTGGCCATTGCGCTAGTCGCTAACTACCAAATCAACAACATCCTCATTGATACATGGATTATCTCCTTATAATTTCTAAATATGTTTTTGATAAAATAAACTTACTTTTCGACTCATCCCCTCTGAGGTCCACTTTATGATTTATTCGATGAGAGGCAAGGGGCTGAAGGCATGATCACACTACTCATAACCTGGGTGAGATCGAGCACTAGTACATGACAATGGTCGATTTCATATGATGGACGTGCCTTCTGCTTAAAACACGATCTTTGATTGAACACCCATGAATACCTTCAGAATAGTTGTCTTAACATAATACATGACGATCATGTTTTGGGCTAGATGCTAGAAAATCATAGTGAGAGGTGGCCTAACATAGTCACAAGCTTGCTAGTTGAAAGCTATGAGGAAGACGACGAGCTAACTCTAGGAAATGCTATAGCTCAAAGTAGAAAGGGGATCAAGATTGGAGATTGCTGAGGATGTCCTAACAAAAAAGATAATCTAAGAAAACTTTACGAATGGGCTCGTATTTTAGTCCAATGCATCGAGGTAAACTCATCCAAGAAGTCCCAACATCTTTGATTGTACTGCAATTGAGATTTCGGGCATACATATCAATAAGATAATTGTCCAAAAGGAGATTGGGAGATGGAAGGATGTGTGTGGACTTTATGAACCTTAAGTCGACGTGCCTAAAAGATAGGTACTTACTTTCGAGGATTGACTCGATAGTTGAGTTTTTAGTCATAAGCTTCCTTGATACATTCTTAGGCTATCATCAAATCAGAATGCATCTTAGCAGTTGTGAGATAACATCTCTCATTAGAGTGTAAGGATAAAGAATGTTGGGGCGACTTTGTTGCACATGATGGATAAAGTCTTTATGGACCAGAAAGGTGAAAACCTATGTTGCACCGATACGGATACGACGATATGGATACGGGACACGCCAATTCTTAAAAATACAGGATACGGATACGGCGCGGATACGACATTATAATATATAAATAATACATAAAAATTAAGAAAAAAATTAAAGTGTAATATTTGAAATGACAAAAAAATTTAAATAAAAGTAAGTAATAAATATTTAAATGTCTAGTACAAGAATAAAAACAAGAAGATAAATTGTCCAGCACATGAAATTTCAACTATTCAATAAAAGGAATGATAGGATTAGCTTCTTCAGTGGTTTGTCTTTGAGTTTCTATATCATCTTTAATAACTATCATAGCTTCTAATTCAGGCTCACAAGTGACAAATTAGCAATTTCTAACATTCCTATATCCTCAAGAGATTCAAATCCGTCTCCAACATCATCTCACATCATGTTGTCTCCTTCCATATAGGTTGGAGTTTTTCTTGAGAGAAGTCGAAGGTTTGTATGCACATAAATTAAATCTTCAGCTCGTTGTGGAGTAATTTTATTTCTCTTCAACAAATGAGCTTTCACTCTATAATATGATCCTTTGTATGCGGCATTACAAAAATTGCATTTGAATGCAACATTGCCACCCCCTTCTGACGTTTTACCTATTTTGGTCACATAACTCCACATTGCCCCCTGGTGGGGTTCGACCTGCCCGGTTAGGTCGCAAGGTCAAGGGGCAGCGCCCCCGGAACAAAATTTTATTATAAGAGTTGTTTTAAAGTTTTCTCTACCATCTCGGTACTACTTGGTATCATTCGGTACCCCTCTGTACCGAGCAATACTGAGCGGTACCGAGTTCCGGTACCGAGCAGTACTGAGTACCGACTACCGACACCGAGCGGTACCGACACCGAACGGTACCGACACCGAGCGGTACCGAGCAGCACCGAGCGGTACCGAGCAGCACCGAGCGGTACCGAGCAGCACCGAGCGGTACCGAGCAGCACCGAGCGGTACCGAGCAGCACCGAGCGGTACCGAGCAGCACCGAGCGGTACCGAGCAGCACCGAGCGGTACCGAGCACCGAGTGGTATCGAGCAGCACCGAGCAGTACCGAGCACCGAGTAGCACCGAGCGGTACCGAGTACTGAGCGGTACCGAGTACTCGAGCGGTACCGAG